ATCGCCATCCGGCCCTGGCTCTCGCGTGATCCCGGCCGGCTGCACGGTCCGGTGAGCCGGCGCCGCTGCAGCCCATGGAGCTCGAGAACATCGTAGCGAACACGGTGCTACTCAAGGCCCGGGAAGGTGAGGCAGCCCGGGAAGGTGAGGCAGCCCGGCGGGTGGCCGGGCTCGGGTATGGGGAGCGCGGACCAGGACCTTTGAGCTCAACCGAGCGCCCCAGACTCCGGATCTTCTAGGGCCGCGAGCTTCACTACCCGAACCCCAAGTAGATACGAGCCCTTCCGGCTCATGGTCCTCTTCCTCCGCACCTGCCCCCCGAGAGCTGGGGCCCAGGAAGGGGCGGGGGTAAGGCCGGCACCCTCTCTGCGGGACGGGAAGGAGGGGGCGTGGAGGGGGTGAGGGAAGGAGGGAAGAAGAGGGAAGGGTGGGACCTGAGCCCTGGAGAGCCTCTCTGAGACCTCCTCCAAGTCAGGGGCGAGTAGATGCCCCACGTGCCCTAGGCCCAGACGCCTGATGGCCCAAAGTTGGTGTTCGTTAAAGGTTGGAGAATGAATGACCGGAGCTTTTGCATAGCATAGACCACTGGAGTCGGGAAAACTCCGGGTCACACTATGTGCAGCCAACTTGCTAGGAACCTCAGGACAATAAAAGACAAGGGTGAATGGGTCACGATCTTTGCTCTCAAGAAGGCCATGATGTGCTGGGGTAAATGCACACAAATCATTGGGAACCCTGTGTTACGGACTGTTAGGACTACTGTAAGTGCAACGGCCTGACTGGGGGAGCCAGTCTTATGGGCCCTGTGTGTGTGTGTCTGTGTCTGTCTGTCTCCTGGTGGCTTTCCAGATTTTATCTGGCACCTGCCCTGTCAGGGTCCTGAGAGACACAGAACTAAAACCAATCCTCCCTGCCCTGTGGTTAGTCTGCCCTTCACCTGCCATAGCCAACTCAGTAATCACTGTACCTCTGTGCAGTGCCCCACCCTGCACAGGATGCTGGGGAACCATCAGTGAATAAGACTTCCTTTTGGAACTCCAGGACCTGGAGATTGTGACATTTTTTTTTTCCTACTTTTTGCTGGGCTCCCAGGCTGAACAAGTCATCTTCTTCACCTTTCTGCCCCATTTTACAGGTGGGAAACTGAAAGCTCAGCCAGAGACTAACCTCAGATCATATAGCAAGATTGTAATTGACCGACATAAAGGACCTAGAATGTCTAACACCGTACATTGTAAGGAGAAAGGAGTCCCCCTCTGGGTACACTACTTGGTGTCCTCTGTCTTCCCAGTTTGTGTCACTGGGGAGGTGCTGCCTGGAAATGAGTATGGCAGGCTGCATCCCTAGTGCCTTTCTTATCTCCTATCCCTTATCGAGACTTGGGGCTGGGCCTTCCTCTCAGCCTCTGGGGGCATCTGCCGATTCTGTTCTGCCTTGTCATCTAGCCAGCCAGGGAGGAGGGGTGAAGAGCCTGGCCAGGCCTCCCTTCCTAAGGCTATAGCTGCTTAAGCCTCAGTCCTGCTGAGGGCACTGCCTTGCCTAGCCAGACAGTGTGAGCATCTTTGGATAAGCTTTGTCGGGCCCCAGGCAAGGTATGGATGGGATGGCCAGTGCTCAGACCGAGTGCCTCCAATAGAGAACCCTCATCCCCACCTGGCTTTGCCCCTCCCATTTACATGGCTTTAGACAGGTCTCTTCTCCTCCATCTTGAGTATCCCTTTTTGTGGAATGATTAGGGAATGAGATAGGAAGACCAAAGGAAATCCTTACTGATTCCTGAATCCAGATCAATGGACTGGCTGTATTGGAATCATTTCGTGAGCTAGCTGACTGCTTGGGGCTAAGGTCTTGTAAGCTTCTCAAATGGTCCCAAAGCATTTTGGGAACCCTTGGTATGTATGTACTGTTGGCTCTTAGTAAATATGAGGCTTACAGAGAAGTGAGAAAGAAACTTGAGTTGTGGGATCTGGGTTCAAATCCTGCTGCTGTTACCTTTAGGCTCTGTGATCATAGGCAAACTGGTCCTTCACTCAGACCCTTAGTATTGTCGTGAGACTGGGCCCAATCTGGTAGAGTTGTTGTAAAAGTAAAATGGGACTGCACTGGAGCTGGGAACCCTCACTTGAATCTCCTTCCTTTCCCAGGTTCCCAGAGCATGAGAAAGAGAACCAGGGTAGGGTTGAGAAGAGCCTCATAGATTCTGCTACAGTTCCAGGACAGGATATTTGCATGTGATTCTTTGCTGCTGCCTTCATGTGGCTGGGAGGAGGGGGAGGAGGAAGTAACTGGTGGGGGAAAGCAGGCAGATGGAGGGTTGGACTAGGGACCCTGTGGGGGTGAGGGAGGAGTTCCCCTTCTGGGGAGGCCTTGCTCTGGGCTAAGGGGTGGAGGTCTGTTGCTCATTCACAGTGAAGCAATGACTGTGGGGTGCATGGGGTGTGGGCAGCAGAAGGCCTACCAGAGGGTTTCTTAAGGGCCCCTGCAACACTTCCTCCTTCAGGCCTCTCTGTTGTTGAGAGACACTGGCCTCACCCTCCCTAAAAGGTGGCTCCTTCCCCTTTACCACCTATCTCTGCCCAGGTTAGCTGGAGACAGGACTGGGAAGACCTAAGGGCAAGTGATGGGTTTAGTACAGGTTGGAGATTCAGGCCTGTGAGACTCTGAGAGAGTCCTCATCTGCCATTTTCACCCTCGTGGCCCATAGGCCACATCCACATCTGACTAGCTCTCTTGACATGTTTTATTTATTTGGCAGCAGTGGGTTTTTTTTGTTTTGTTTTTTTCAGTCACACCAGTATTTCACATGACAGGCTGGATTTCCAGCTGCTTTTGGAAAATCAGGAGAGCTAGTCACTGAGCTAATACTTCTTAGCAGCAACCAAGAAAGCTCCAGGAGTTGTGATGTAGCTACCCCTATTGGAAGGGTCCTTTCCTGGTCTGTTCACTACACTTCCTACCACTCCCTGGTGGCTTACATGTGGTCCACATTTACTGTACCTGTCAGGCTCTGTAGGCATTCCAGTTGCTCCTGTGGTCTCAGCAGTTACAGTTAGGGAGTCAGCTAGGTAAAACAAGGCAGCCATGGGGGGCAGTAAAGCCCTCGTGTTCAGAATAGGGAGTGAGGGATCCTGACTGCCAGCCCTCCGGAACCACCTTGCTCATGGGTGAGGAGAAACAAAGGGAAATAGCTGTGATGCACAGCTTGGTGGTAGAGGCTGGGAGCCTCCCTAATGGCCCAAGCTGCCCTCTGTCCATGGCATCTCAAACACACCTGATATGACCTGGAATCTCTCCCTTGTGGGCCTTGATTTATGGAGCCCCCACTACTATGATGCCCTTTCTGTTTTCTTCACCCAAGTAAGTCCTACCTAAGAGGAAGCAACTGAGGCCAAATTTGCCCAAATGGCCTTACTACCCACCTTGGCTTTGCCAGACCCTCCCAGGAGAGCCCAGAAGGACCGTACATGTCCTGGAACTGTGGAGGATCATGCTGGAGTATGTGGAAGAAGGCCCTGTGCCTCCCAGGGCAGGCTGGGCCTTGACTGGGCCCCGAAGGCCACTGAATACACTGCAGGTCAAGGGAAAGCATAGTGGCAGAAGGTCCTGAGAGACCCAGTGCCTGATTGCTTCTGCAGGTGGTGGTGGAAATCGCAAAGGCAAGAGCAAGAAATGGCGGCAGATGCTTCAGTTCCCCCACATCAGCCAGTGTGAAGAGCTGCGGCTCAGTCTCGGTGAGTCCTAGGTGGAGACTGAGCACTACTGAAGCAGAGGGGACCCTTGGTTCAAGGGAAGCCTCCCCTGAGACCTTGCCCTGGGGCACAAGGGCAGGGTTGGGGGAGTCTGATGACTGGGAAGTTGAGGCTGTACCACCCGGTCCAGTTTCAGTTCCTCGGCTTGGGATGGCTGGAGGGCAGAGAGTGAAAAGGGGCTAACTGGTGAGTTGAAGTGAATATGGGGAGGAGGGCAGGGGCAAATGGGGGGCAGCTGAGAAGCAGAGACCGGGAGTGCCACCCCAGCAAGAGCAGGGCCCCCTGGCCAGAGGAAATATCCCAGATTGACTATGTTGAGAGCCCTCAGCCTGTGCTTATCAGTCCTACCTAGCCCACCCCAGCAAAGCCAGGGCAGTGTGACAGGATTATTTCTGGGAGAGAACAGAATGACCCAGGCCCCCAGTTCCTGTTTATTTTCATGGAATCTTGAGGTTGGAGGAGCACCTAAGGTTGCCTGGGCCCCCTCTGAAGCCCTGTGTATGGGCAAAGAGTATATCATGGCTGCTTCCACAGCCTGGGAAAGAGGCCCAGCTGAGAGCCCGCCGGAAGCCGCAACTTCCTCTCGCACTTTCGCCAGGCAGGCAACAGGTGTGGGCCTAGCCCCAGGCTGGGCTGGAACCTCACAGACCACACCCAGCCCTAGCACTGACATACGAAAGTTGTGTGAACTAGGAGGTGACAGGGGAGGTGGGAGCCTGGGCTTTGGAGCTCAGACTACTGACTCTGTGCATTGAGCTAATAAGTGAACCTCTGTGGACCCCACAGTCCCAGGTTATGTTGGGAATAACACTGCTTACTCAGGATTGTGGTGGGAGCACTAAAGAAGATGATGGCTGCCACACCACAGGGCTGGAAGCTGTTGGGGCCCAGAACTTGGTGGTGTAGGCAGAAGTGCCCTGCCAATGGGCTCCAGGTCTGTGACCCCAACAGCTCCCATCTTACCTGCAGAGCGTGACTACCACAGTCTGTGTGAGCGGCAGCCCGTTGGGCGCCTGCTGTTCCGGGAGTTCTGCACCACGAGGCCTGAGCTGACTCGCTGCATTGCCTTCCTGGACGGGGTGGTGAGTGCAGCCTGCCCAGGACCAGCCTAACACTGAGGGCAGCAGGTGGAGGTCCCCACCACTGTGCCCTGTTCCCCTGCACCCATGGCTCTGTCTAGACTCTGGGCTTCTGTTTCGTACTGTGCAGGCCGAGTACGAGGTGACCCCTGATGAAAAGCGGAAGGCATGTGGGCGGCGGCTAATGCAGAATTTTCTGAGCCACACGGTGAGTGAGCAGTGATGGAGAGATGATGGCAGCGAGCTGGGCTCAGGGCTCAGTGACAACAGGGAGAGGAGTGACCACAGCCTGGGTAGTGAGTGCCTTGGAGCTGCTCCAGGCAGCACCGCGGGCATGGAGCCCAGGGGGTGAGACGAGCTCAGGCCAACAGCTCTGCCTCTCCCTGCCTCGGGAGAGAGGAAAGGAAGGAGTCCAGCAACCAGGCAGCCAGCATACCACCCGCCAGCAGCTACACTGCCACCAGCAGAGATATGTGGCAGCTCTGCCCAGGGAGTGGGCAGCTGCCCATTGAGCCCCTGCACTGACCTGTCCATGGCCTGTCTCCAGGGTCCTGACCTCATCCCTGAGATCCCCCTGCATTTGGTGACTAACTGTGCCCAGCGGCTGGAACAGGGGCCCTGCAAAGACCTCTTCCAGGAGCTGACCCGGTAAGCCTCCCTGTTTACAAGCCTGGAATTACACCCACAGTAGGGGCCTTCTCTGGGCCCAGAAGGCTGTGAACAGCTCAGCTTCTCACCCTGGCCTTGACCCACTGATCAGCTTTGGCAGTTGGCTTCCTATCTCTGTAGCATCCTCACTTCAGCACCACATCTATTGCCCCTCACTCAGTGGCTTATCCAGAAGGTTGGCTGAGGATGCTGCTTTGTGGGCTGAGATGTGTATCACAGGACACCTAGACCATTAAGCCCAGAATCTGCGTGTCAGGGGCTGATCTGAGGGCTGGTATTTCTAACAGGCTGACCCATGAGTACCTGAGCATGGCCCCTTTTGCTGACTACCTCGACAGCATCTACTTCAACCGTTTCCTGCAGTGGAAGTGGCTGGAAAGGTAAGCTTCTCCCAGACTGAGCCAGGATAGGCCAGGTTGTGAAGGCTCTTCCTGGTCTATGAGCCCTACTCAGCCAACGTTTTCTCCCTTAACCTTTGCCCACAGGCAGCCCGTGACGAAAAACACCTTCAGGCAGTACCGAGTCCTTGGCAAAGGTGGCTTTGGGGAGGTGAGTGGTTAGGCCAGTGTCCCAGCAGAGTGTATAAGGCAGGCTAGGGTGGACCTGCACCAGCCCCTATACCCCAAGAGCATGCTGGCCTCCATTTGCCCATCTACCCCTGCCACAGGTGTGTGCCTGCCAGGTGCGGGCAACGGGCAAGATGTATGCCTGCAAGAAGCTAGAGAAGAAACGGATCAAGAAGCGGAAAGGGGAGGCCATGGCCCTTAATGAGAAGCAGATCCTGGAGAAAGTGAACAGTAGGTTTGTAGTAAGTACAGAAAGGAGACCTCTCCCTTCCTGTTGGTCTTGCTGGCTCATCCTGCCCTCCAGTCACCAGGCTAAATCTCTCCCCACCAACAAAGGGACTGCCCTCTACCCTGCCCCACCCCTCCAGGCCTCTCCTTCTCACCCTGGACATTGCCCAGGAAGGATGGCCTGGGAACCATGCTGAGCCCCCAAGAAGTGGCATCCAGAAGGATATTTTGCGCAGCTAGTGTTAGTCCTACCCCCAGGTGGCCTGCAGCTCTTGCCTGAGGGCTCCGATCCTCTGGCCACAGGTGAGCTTAGCCTATGCCTATGAGACCAAGGATGCACTGTGCTTAGTGCTGACGCTGATGAATGGAGGTGACCTCAAGTTCCACATCTACCACATGGGCCAGGCTGGCTTCCCTGAAGCACGTGCTGTCTTCTATGCTGCTGAGATCTGCTGTGGGCTGGAGGACCTGCATCGGGAACGCATCGTATACAGGTGGGGTAGAGCTTCTTCCAGCAGCTCTCCCAGGGCCTGGCCTATCTCCAAGGGCTGTAGCTGGTGTGGATGGAGGCAACCAACCCTGTCAATCAGGTCAACAGCAAAAGAATATTGGCCACAGCAGTAACTGGTTCAAGGCTCAACACTCCCCCCTCACTGGGCTGACTTCAGTGGCTCAGGCCTAGGCTGTGAGGTCTACCTGACCTTTCTGTGTGAATCCTGATTTTATTACCCTTTGTTTGACCTTGGATCAGTCAGCTCCTTGCGCCACCAACACTTACTTCCTTTTTTGCTAAGCAGGGAATGACCTTCCTACCCAGCAGCTTGGCTTAGTAGTGGAGAGCTTTGGTTATATTGGTGACTGGTGGTGATTTCACTTCAGCCTGATAGCAGCCCCGTGAGAGGATAGATGGGTAGCCCTGCTTGACAGAGGAATGGCAGAATCAGCTACCAAATGGAAGGGAACTCAATACTGGTGATGTCTAGGAAGTCCTCCCCTGGATGAGAGTCATTGTTCACTCACCTAGGAAGATCCTGGGAGTCCTGGCACTATAAATCTTTCATCTTCCATCTTGAGTCTTGGCTGTTGCTCAGGGAGAGTGGAGTCATCTGTCACTTGGCAGTTGAGCTAGGAGAGGCCAGCCCCGTCTGGCTTCTTGGCAAAATGAATAGCAGCTGACCCTGCCCTTCTCTCCCCACAGGGACCTGAAGCCAGAGAACATCCTTCTGGATGACCACGGTGGGTGGGGAGGGACAAAGATGGGGTGGGATGAGTTGGGGAGGCCTGGCCCTTAATAGGCCACCTGCTTCTCCCTTCTCATTCAGGCCACATCCGCATCTCTGACCTGGGGCTGGCTGTGCATGTGCCTGAGGGCCAGACCATCAAAGGTCGTGTGGGCACTGTGGGCTACATGGGTAAGTCTTCCTCTAGCCCAGGCCACCAGTATCCTGGCTCCCTTCATTTTCCTGAGCCTTGCCCACCACCCTCTGTATGGGGTCTTTTGTGCCTGAGTAAGTAGAAAGAGCCCATACTGATGTTCCTCTTTTGTGGATTAGAAAACCAAGACCCCAGCCAGAGTCCTACCATTATGAGTCCACATCTTTCATTCACTAAATGCTCATTGAGCACATAGAATTGGCTGGGCCAGCATGTGGCTACCAGGGCAGGGAGAAGAAGAAAATCAAACCTATTTCCATGGCTCTAGCCCTGCCTGCCGCTGGATTGCCTGTGTTTGCAGTAAGTGTGCCCCATTGTGGTACAGGGCAGTGGCCCTATGCTCACCCTGGGGACCACATCACACAGTAGACAGCCCTGGCCCAATAGGTTTTACCTCTTGCCTGTTGTGGTGCCCTGATTCCTCTTCTCACAGCCTCTCTTTTTCTCTACTGTGAAAGGATCATCAGAGCTGCCTCTCAGGGTTGCCTGGAGATGAAAAGAGATAGTTGAGTGAAAACTCCTCAGGTGCCTGCCCTGGCAGGTAGGAGGTATCAGCAAGTAGGAGTTTCAGTCCTGTCTTTTCTCATGAAATCCAGAAGTTGCAAACTAGTAGCCACAAGGGCTCAATTTGGCCTACATTAGTATTGAAGTAAAATTGTAGAATAGTTGGAATTGGTTGCCAACGTTTAATAAGTCAGAGAGCTTTATGTAAAAAATAGAGGTAGAGTGCTTGCTTAGAATGTACAGAGCCCTGGGTTTCAGCACCATATGGAAAAAAAAAAAGAAAATATCAGAAGAACTGGGTGGCTAGGGATTTAGCTTAGTGGTTCCACTGCCTGCCTTGCAAGTGCAAGGTCCCGAGTTTGATATCCAGTACCAAAAATAAAGAAGAGCTGGGGACCCTAGGTATGGCACCCTGCAAGGCCACATCAGCTCCCTTTGTTGGGATGCGTGTTCTATACTTGATAAATTGATAATGGTACCTCCCTGGCCAGTAGGTGTCTGAGTTAGTCCCCTGAATTCATATGTGCTGGGCATTCCTGGGGCCCAAGGGCTCTTGTTCCCTACCACCTACCCAGCCCTGGTTCCTGTGCCCTGCCCAGCTCCAGAGGTGGTGAAGAATGAGCGGTACACATTCAGCCCTGACTGGTGGGCGTTAGGCTGCCTCCTGTATGAGATGATCGCAGGCCAGTCACCCTTCCAGCAGAGAAAGAAGAAGATCAAGCGGGAGGAGGTAGAGCGGTTGGTGAAGGAGGTGCCCGAAGAATACTCTGAGCGCTTTTCCCCGCAGGCCTGCTCACTCTGTTCCCAGGTATCACAGCAAGCGGAAGGCCTGACTGGCCAGGGCTGGGGCTGGAGCTGGGGCATCTCACCTGCCTGCCCACACATGGGCACGCTGATCACCCATGCCCTGCCACAGCTCCTCTGCAAGGACCCTACGGAGCGCCTGGGGTGTCGTGGGGGCGGCGCCCAGGAGGTGAAGGAGCACCCTCTTTTCAAAAAACTGAACTTCAAGCGGCTGGGAGCAGGCATGCTAGAACCACCCTTTAAGCCTGATGTGAGTGCAGCCCATTTTTGTGGAGGGCAGGGCCAAGCTGGGGTGGGGGCTGGGGGTCCTTGTGTAGGGGAAGAACACCTCCAATCGCTCGCCCCCTGCATCATTACTCTCACAAAAATGAAAAAGCCCAGGATAGGTCTGGCTTTTAGCATATCTGAATGGGGAGATTCGAAGTGGGATGGCCCTAAGAGAGTACTGAAGGAATTCACTTTCTGTCCTTCCCCCTCCGCACTGTCCTATTGATTATGTAGTCTTCTCTGTGAGGCAGCTTTCCCCAGGGATTGCCCCAGCATATCAGGCCTATAACCACCAGTAAACATCCCTGTAGACAGAGATTGTTGCCCAGGAATTTTGAAGGAAGTCCTAAAGGGGAAAAACATCTTAAGGTGGATGGTTCATTACTTCTGCTTGCTCAAAGTACCCTCACTGACCGCAGCTGGATCACATGCCCACCTTGACCACTGCCAATGAGAACAATCCATTTCCCAAAGGATGACTTGAGATGGCAGTGCCAGCAGGGGGAGGTCTGCTGGGCTCGCTGCCCCTCTTCAGTCAGGACACTTCCCCCTTGTAGACTCCCACTCATTTATTGAGCATCTCATGGGTCTGCACCCTGCAGGCATAGACATCCTCTAATATTACAAGCGGCAGAAACCCACTCCTACTTCCTCAAGCCCAGTGTGAAGTTTATTGGTTTGTTTCATAAGAAAGTTCCTGAATAAGGCCAACATCAGAGTTTCATGTTTTCTTCTCGGTGCTGCTTCAATCTGCTGGCTATATATCCCTTCCCCTGAATTCAGTTCTCTCTGTAATGTCACGGGGAAGGTTCTGATTGGCCAGGATTAGGTCATGTGCTTGCCTCTGTCCCATTGATATGAGGACTGGATCCTCTGATAGTTTACCAGGTTCAGTGGGGAGGCTGGAAGGTAATGGACTGGCCAGGTTGATGACTGTCAACCATTCAACAAAACCTGAGTGCTCAAATGTGCCAGACCTTGGAGATAATAAGGTCCCCAGGATCCAGGTCTGTCTTTATGTTTTAGTGGGAAGACACCAAAATAAACCAGTAAGTGAGAAAGTTTCAAGTAATGCTAAGTCCAACAAAGAAAAATAAAGCAACCTAAGAAGACAGAATGATGGCTAGAGGTGGATAGTAATTTTAGGGTGGTCCCTGGGGAGCTGATGATTAAGCAGACACTAAAAATAGGTAAAAGCCATGCCAAAATTTGGGGGTGGGGTGGGGTAAGCATCCCAGGAAAAAGGAACAGCAAGACTTTGGATCCTGGAGCAGAGACTGGTCTAGATGGAAGAGCAAGGAGGAAGCCAATGTGGTTGGAATGAGTATGTACAGGTAAAGAGAAGGGCGGTCATATCCTAATCATGAGAGGGGAACTTTGAGGGTTGTAGACAGGAAAGTGAGATGCAGAGAGTGGGTCATAGAGGGTATGTAGGGCGGGGGATGTAGCTCAGTGGCACTGTGCCTGCCTGGCAAGTGCAAGGTCCTGAGTTCAGTCCCCGGTAGCACAAAACAAGCAAACAAACATAGAGTGTATGTGTAGAAGTAGGGAGGCCAGCAGGAAGACTGCTTGAGCCCATAAGATTAAGACCTCCCTGGGCAATATAGCAAAACTCTTATCTCAGAAAATAATGCTCATAACAACATTCTTCCTAAGTCAAAAAAATAGGAATAACCCTAATGTCTATCAGTTAATAAATAAATAAAATGGGGTATTGTTTATAAAATGGGATATTATTCAGCCCCAAAAAGGGATGATGTACTGACATACTACGACATGGATGAACCTTAAAAAACATGGCAGGTGTGGTGGTGCATGCCTGTAACCGCAGCACTTGGGAGATTGAGCCAGGAGGAATATCTCTAGTTCGAGGCCAGCCTGGGCTACTTAGTTCAATGTCAGCCTGAACTACATAGGGAGGCCTTGTCTCAAAACAACAAAACAGCTGGGGATATAGCTAGTTTGTGTGTGTGTGTGTGTGTGTGTGTGTGTGTCCATCCATGTGTATGCATAACTGAACTGGGGATTGAACCCAAGGACAAATAAGCACAAGCTGCACCACTGAGCTACACTACACCCCCAGCCCTATGAATTTTTGTTGTTTTTATTACCAGGTATTGAACTAGCAAGGCAGGTGGTGGAACCACTGAGCTAAATCCCTGGCCCTTCTATGATTTTTTTTTTGTTTTTTGGG